AAACAGAATATCTCGTGAATAATCATTTTTTTTCTTTTTAATAATAATTTTTATCACTATATTACAATATCTTTTTATTTGTAAATATTTTCATTTTAAAAATATATAATTATTAAATTTTTCATTTAATAATAGCGTAATCGATAAATAGATTGATAAATAAAAAATCGAACTTCGAAAATTATTAAATATTTGTTGTATTTAAATTAAAAAAAATTTATTATGTTGCATAAAAAATAACATTATTTTATACTTGTAAATTTGTATGCTTTACTTTAATTATATTTAATGCTCGAATAATTTAAAAATATTTATTGACAAAAATTATGAAATCAGTACTTGAAATATTTCATATCTTTTAAAAAAACATAATATTATATAGTTGCAGAAATTATAGGGACACATAATCATATGGATCGAATTCCAATTATGAGATATATTTTTTTCAATTGGATTCTGTTTCCTTGTGTGGAAGTAGAACTGATCTTCGAAACATCGATCAGAATTTAATGCATTACATTAAACTTTTAAATTCAATTACATTACAAGAAATATACTAGTAAGGAAAAAACTCATGAACTTCACTTCATTTCGATTTAAGTATTCGCTCTATATTTTTCTTTTATGCGAGATGTAAAAAGAACTTTTTATAAAATTTTCTTTGTAACATATATAAATTAAAATCAAAACATTTTTGTATCGTTTATATTCTGAATTTGAAAACCCTAGTCATTCAGCATAATCAATGATCAACAAGAAATCATTCTTATCACAAATATCATCCCGCAAAGCAATTCAAACATTTATCAACCATCTAAAATGAGACAGCCTTTCATCTTCACAACGTCATCGAATCGCTTTATCCAGAAAAGCTTTGCCCTCGACTTATAGTAGAAGGACGAAGTGAATCGTCAGCTCGTCGTAGAGAGAACGAGCCCGCAAGCACGGTCGACACACATTTCTGTTCAGAGAAGAAAAGCAGCCGACACAGAAAATCGATTTAGACGTTTCACAAAAGCTGATTCGCCTTGATCCGTTTTGCTGGACGGTCTTTTTCCATACGATGGACAGCTCGATTTTTCCCTCCTATATTTTTCCCTCTTACCCCGCCTACTCTCGTATTTCTGCGAGGAGAAAGCGATATAGAACTTTATACATATACTAGGGGGGAACCGCATTCGCCATAGTTTATTGTGCGAGTTGGAAGAAACATTTTTCTCGCGTTATAGCTTCTCGAACCATCGCACGGATCTCCCTTTCTTCTTTCTCTTTCTCTATTTTTCTTCTACGAAAAAAGGAATACAATTTTGTTCTTTTCTTTAATCGACCTTGACCGTGCTTTTCTCGATAGCCACATGACAATGGCGGCGACCGCCGACTGAACCGCGTTCTCCGAGCCTTTCGAACTCGATGCCAACGAGACGTTCCAGCTAGCTTGATAAATCACGTATCCCGGCTTCGAAAGGCGAATCGAATGAGCGTATTCAGCGAAAAATGAAAGAATTTCCAAGTAGTATGGTTAAGAATAGATGTAAATTCATGTGCATGTAACTTTATATGTATGAGAGATAGGCGAATTATTTTAATAATAGAAAAAAATTGAGCCGAGTACTCGGTTTTTGCCAGTTTGAGGTTAAAACCTTGGATACCTTATTCGTTAAGTGACTACTTTGACCAATTATGTCTAATTATGTCTCTTGAGATTCCAAATATGGCTGCCGCCTACGGCAAATAGTAGCCGAGGATATATATATATATTTTTTTTAATAATAATGATACAAGATTACTTGAGATAATATAGTTCAATTTGAAAATAAATTTATAGTGGTATTATTTATACGTAAATTTCTTTTTGATGTTAAATAAATGATGTTAATAAATAAATTATTGATTGATATTTTAAGTTTTTAAGTTTTTGAAAGTAAATTCGTTTACTCCATTAAAAAGTTGAAGAAAAAACTGATCATTTTTCGTAAAAATCAAAAGTGAAAATAATAAGAATGATTTTTATTTTTCAAAATTAGAAAATTAGAAAATTTTTCGAAATTATGGAAATTAAAATAAAAAAATATTAAAATTATTATAATAAAATTAATGAGATAAAATTAACTAAATTAATATATACGAAAAAGATAAAAAATATATATAAATATAATTAATAAATAATAGCAATATTTTCACCAAAATTTCAATATAATATATATTTTTATATACATAAATACATATTACAACAATCAACACATTATTAAAATTTTATATTTATATTTAGTAAAATTTTGAAGATTGATGTATTAAATTTTTATTTTGAGTCAAATTGGTCTAAAAGAAACAACAAGGATATAGCCAGAAACATGCAATATCCAAAAAATTTAATAAAATGAAATGAGAAGAAAGACAACGGTTATTATCAAGCTCGACAAGCGTAGCGATGATTTATTAACGCGTACCCTGCTGTGTGGGTTGCATATGTTTTAAGTTTTTGACGTTTACGACATGCACCATCGGTGGTACACGTACCATGAACGGAAAGCAAAACAACGAGTTAACAGAGTATTAACGAATGTGTTAACAATGAACGCGTGCCAATTCGGCCGTCTAATTCGAATTAAAGTGGAAAAAAGTAAAAAAAATCTATTTTATTTTTGTTTATTTTACATTTGTTTTAATAATTAAACATGAGCATTGTCTATCTTATTGAATACCGTGAAAATATAATCATCAATTTATTAATAATCTCCATGTAAAATAAAAATTATAAAATTAAAAAAAAATAAATATATTTTTTTTTTCTTTTGATTTTTATATAATATTATATATAATATTTGATCAAGAACAAATATGTTGATGTTTCTTTTGAGAAAATGTCGTTCACGAATTAAAATAATTAAGTAATAGAGTATCTTCAACGAAATGAAAGGTCTCGTGTTTGCTGCTCTCTCTGGTATCCAGGCCGGAATGATAGTTTGCCATGAATTTCAATTTGTACGATTAATTGTAACGAAACTAAGCTTCCGCGGTATTGCAATTCTCCATGGAAAATATTTCTTGAAAACTCAACATTAGCTTAACAGAACTGATTTTATTGCATTTAAATTTTTTTACAATTGTTGTAACTAAACACGAAAAACTAAAACACGAATAAATTATTAAAATTTTTGGCTATTTAAATTAAAACGTTAGAATTACAAAAAATTTATATTTGCTTCTATCAAAAGAAATAAAAATAATAAGAATGTTGAAAAAATAAATAATCTGAAGAAAAAAGTGCATGTTATATTAAAAATTTCGATCAATATATGTTAGAAAATGAATAATACGTTATAGAATATAATTTTTATGCAATATTATAATAAATCATATTTTTATAATTATTAATTACAAGAGAGCAATCGTGAGCAATCATAAGTATTAATATTTTATTAATACTTTAAAAATCGATAAATAATACAATTAATAATTGTAATAATTGTAATAAAATTTACTATCCTAAATCAATCACATAAAAAAATAAAATCTAAAATTCATAACATTATTCTTTTAGTAAATCATAACCTGTACAAAATACTATGAAAAATACTGAATTGTATCTAACAAGAAATAAGTTGACCTATGTGCCATTTAAAATTTCTTTATGACAAAAATTTTAATTTTTATGTAATAAATAGATTAATTAATTTCATTAAATATAATGATGCAGTTTTTTTTCGTTCCTCCATTAAACCGCACCTATATTGAACATGACCAAATGTACACTACATCGTCAATTAATTACAAACAGGGGAGGAGGATCGGGCGATTATGGTGGATACGAAAATAGCTGGAAATAGCGTGCATAATCCGTGCGAAAAGGGGCCGCGCAAATATTTGCATCTATTTTACACTCCATCGATGCCGCTGAATTTTGAATGCATGTTATTTTTAGCAGAATAGGTTGAGTGTATGTCGATCTATTCTTTAGCCCGCGGCTTATACTTGCTCACGCGCACAACCAACCACATATTCTGTCATTATATTGCCATGTATATGTACGGTCATTGATTTAATAATTTATACATATCGAGACGTGAAATAAAAACTAAAGAAGAGGAATCAATAGGAGATAGAGGAACACCGACGTATTTAACGTATAAAGTATAGGTACTCGGTCATCTCTGTGATTGGTGCCAATTAAACAGCCTCGTTGGACCAGTTAAGAGGACACTTTTCACGAGTAGCGACAACTTTGTAAAAAAATACGCGACGATTCTCTACAGTAGACGATAGTAGGTATAATTCACAAAGCGTGGAGAACGTACCGTCATGACTTTCACAATACAATTAATTCACAGTGCTTGGAAGGGAACTTCAGAAAGAAGAGGGGAAAGGGAAACGGCTCTACAGCATGAGCTCTTGGAGAGAAGAAAGAACCGGTGAAATTATGATCTCGTTAGAATGACATGGAATATGATCAAAGGTAATTCTTTGTTCATTAATTAGCCAGAGGTGTAAATTTATGATAGTATTCGATAAAAAAAGAGAAATAACAATGATAAGTAAATTTAACCGCCAATGACGTAAGTACTGATTTACGATCGATCAACAGTACTGTATATGTTACCGCGCGAAATTTGGTTTCATACCGAATTATTTTGCTTATTATGCTTCGCTTAAACGTAAATCAAAAAAAAAAAAGTGTAATATTATATGTACGTATAACATAGAAATAACAAACAAATGACAGAAAAAAGAAGAGATATTAATATCGTTAGTGCGAGGGTGTACATCCGTTGTTTAATCGGAAAAAGTGGCAGTCATACAGACACGAAAAGATATTTCGTTGATCGAATTATAATTTTACATTGATGGTCCAATGATCGTAACTTACTGAATAAGAGTACAAATATGTAAAACGATACTATATGATTTATATCTAACAGCAGTCGAAAATTGTGTGAATGCAAAGGATAAAGGAGAAAGAAGAAGGGTGCGGTAGACATATTAGAGCAAGTGACAAGACTCACCTTGTCTGAGGGTATGTTGCGCGAACTCATCGTAGATGATGGCGAGGGTGTCGCAAGGAATCCAGAGGCCGTCCGTAATTTGACCCAAAGCCGACTTCCCGAATGGCACAGGTATTTAACAAATGGTGACAGCAGTGAAAAGCCAGTGTGCGACGCACTTACTCGATGAAAACACACTCACGCACAGCTCACTATTCCGGGACCATTTCGGCCCGAGCCTTCGCTGCCCGATCACACACTCCGACACCTGTCGTTACTTGTACATGTCGGGCGCAAAGTATTTGGGTAACATCTTGCAGATAATACACGGAATACGCTCTGTAGTTTGCACCACACGCACCCACCGTCCCAGTCTCAGAGCCAAACATATAAAATGGCGATCCTGAGACGATGCAGCCTTCTGGGGAAGCTTCGGTCACAGAGTACGCGATTCTACTAGTTGCCCTGTTTGATGCTCATGACAGGTGGCAGTGGGAGGAATACTAGTAGCGCTATCCTCGGCATATTTTGGTACTATATTACAAATTGGATTTGTAATAACCATGCAAACGAAGCTTACCGTAAACATATGAAAAGCCATAAATTGAAAACAATTATTTTAATTATTTTCATTATGATTATTATTGAAAAATTATAGAATCGAAGCAATAATATTTTTATTTTCTTTGAAAACTATAAATTACTTAATATTGATTGCATTTAATATTATTGTGAATAGTACTTTATATATAATAGTTAGCATTAAAATTATCACATAACCTCTTCGATTATTCTGCAAACATTAACATTTTGACAGTTCTCGAATGATAGATTATACTTTACTATTTAAGCGTTAATTTGCATATATATAATTATAAATTATGTATAGAATTAAAAATATCATCTATATCTGACGCATAATGAGTTCATTGTGATAAGTTACTTATAAAAGTATTTAAAAAAAAATGTCTGCAATTATAGATGATAAAGTAGTTGCAGGAGCAAAATCTGCAAATATTGTTAAAGAAGATCCTATTGTAGCATTGACGGTATTTATACCGTTTTAATAATAGAATTTAGAAAACTATAACATATTTTTTTTTATTGATATAGATAATTACTGTGAATTACCTTCTTCCTTTATTTCCTTGTTATTTAACAATGAATTTTAATGCAAGAAAATATAATTTCATTTATAAATTTAGTTCTATCTTTATTTTCTATTTGTATAAAATTTATTTTATCTATTTATTTTAGGAAAAAGTTAATGCATTATATTTTTTTCGAGATCACTATTTTGAAAATCATTCTATCGAAGAAGCCATTAAAAAGAATAATGATTTAGAAAAAGAGATGAAAGATACTTTAAATAAATTTGATGAATGTAAAGGCTATGAAATTGATGGATCAAGAGCAAAATATTATTATCTAAAGGGAAAAGCTTTAAATGTTACAGAACGTTTTATACCTCAAGCAGAAGAGTTATTAACAAAAGCAGTGAAATTAGAACCTAATTTAGTAGAAGCATGGAATGAATTAGGAGAATGTTATTGGAAAAATGATGACATTCAACAAGCAAAAAATTGTTTTGTTGGAGCTTTACGTCATGTAAAATCCTTTTTCTTAATTATTATATCTTATTATTTTTTGTAATTATATATCATATAATTAAATTATAATAATAAAAATTATAGGGTAAGAATAAAGTATCCTTAAGAAATTTATCAATGGTATTTAGACAAGAACCAGTTCTTAATGTTGAACAACGAATGCAAAATATACAGAAAGGTGTAGAACATGCTAAAGAAGCAGTTAGCCTTGATACAACAGATGGAATTTCTTGGGCAATATTAGGAAATGCCTATTTGTCTTCCTTTTTTACAGTAGCACAAAATCCTGCAATTTTACGACTTTGCATGTCAGCTTATGCACAAGCAGTAAGTCTTATAATAATTTTTATTGTTAATTAGTAGTAAACATTTAAATTATTTATAGGAAAAAGATATTGTAGCAGGAAGTAATCCTGATTTATTTCATAATAAGGCAGTGGTAAGCATTTTATTTTTTTTCAATACAATTTATAAATTTTAATTCCTAATGTAATTAAATAAAATACACATTAGGCCTTAAAATATCAAGAAGAATATAGTTTAGCATTAAAGTCTTTTGAAAGGGCAATGCTATTAGATCCATTATGGGAAACACCACGTAATAAAAGAGATGAATTACTACAATATTTAAAAGATGTACAAAATTCAGTAAACAATAGTGGAAGAGTAAAACCGAAGAGATTGTATCAAATGATAAGGGTATTTAAATTTTTTTTGGACAATATTTTTTTTTCTATTTATAAGAATGTAATTTCAAGATGATTCATATTATTTTATAAACTTAATACATGATGTTGGTACCTATACATATTTATAGGTTTCTGATTAAATGTAGGCATTGGATATTAAACATTTGGGACCATACAAAGGTGGCTCTTTCACATCCGGCCAGAAGACTGTAAAATTAGATTTAATATTATTGAAAGATTTAGTCCTAGGATTAAATCCAGAGAAAGTTATATTTGGAAAAGTAGTATGTTGGATACAAGATACTGATTGTGTACCTTTGTAAGTAAATTTTTTATATTAAACAATATTAACGTAAAAACAATTAAACAAATAAGAAATTTATTAATAAGATTCATAAATACGTGTCGAATCTTTTTAGCGCTTTTTGCCTTGTTGATGAAGAAAAAACATGTATTGCTGTAACAGTATACAATCTTGCTAAAGGTCGTGGAGTTACTGTAGGAGATTCTGTTGCTATACCCGAACCATTCGTGATTCATCAAAAGTTTTCTTATCTTAACAATGTTAATATTATTTTAATGTTATATATACCTGTTCTAAAATTAACGATTACATAAGTATATCCTTTTTCAGGATTTTGACTTCAAATCTATACGCGTCGAAACTCCGGTTATATTGGTTGTTAATGGAAGAAAATTAGGTAGGGAACAAGAAGCATCTGCAAAATTGCATACTTTTAAAAAAACCGATTAAGATTTACGTACGTAAAAATTCATTCTGAATTAGTGAAACATAATTAATAATGAGATTTTTTTCATCTCAAATTTAAATTAATGTCAGTAAATAGACAATGTGATATTTAAATTTTGAATCTAAGTAATAATTATACATTAACAGAATTTAATAATCTTACCACAGTCAATATTTCTGAAGATAGGTTGATCTATTTACAATTGTTGCGCGTTTCACAATAGAAAATGTTTAAATTTGAAGTGATGAAAGTTCTAAATGTCTTAAATGTTTTCAATTTATTTCCGATATATTGATTTATAGAGAAGCTTGAAGAATTCGAATACATGGATTTTTATGAAATTTTCTATATATATAATAAAAAATAAATTCATTTAAATAATTCTATCTTAGAATATTGTAAAAGCACTTTTGAGTGTTATATGATAAGCAATAAAAATTTTTATATATAATGTATCAAAATTTTATAAAAATTTATAAGCATATATTCTTCAAGTTTCTCTTGTTGATTCAAAAATTACAGAATGTTTTATATATAATATAATCGGATTTTATATAAAAATACTGATTCTTATAATATATCTACGTTTATTTCTTAATTTTCAAATAATTTCTATTTAAAAAATTATTATATACTTGAATGTTCTTCATTTTTTTTTTTTGAATTTGTTTCGTATTTTTAATATGTTTATTGTTATGATTTCATGATAACGAGGAAAGTTAGAAAATAAGTTAAAAAATATAATCCGTTAATATTTAAAAAAATAAAATAAATCGATTTTTCCTATAAATTTTACTCCATCAATCGTTTTACCGTGCCAATAACTTTTTCTTATTCATACAAAACAGAAACTGACAGACGTTCTTTTATACTCAAATACTCACACAAATTTATTTTAACTCTGCTGAAATAACGTCCATAAATTTGTAAAGATAAAACATATTGTAAAATATATAATACGTAGATTTATTTTCAAAAATATTGAAATTGATTTATCGAAGTTAACACTCGAGAAGAAAATTAGCGAGAAAAAAGAAAAAAACCACGAATCCTATTTCCGTTTTGTCGCTATATTTCTGAAGAGCTTAAACGAAAATGCAACAGATATTATTAAAACAATATCAAAAATAAACCGACAAACATAGGAATAGGATATCGTGTTTTTTTTCAGTCATTTTTACGAAAATTGCTTGTGATATATATATACGATATATATATATATTTAAAACGTTTGTATAAAAATGTTTTCTATCGTCGATTATATTAATAAATACTTATTTAATAACAATATAGTAGTTGGGCGTTTCTCTATTAAATTCTAACGTCCGTTTGACGGAGAAACAATAGTGAACATCCAGCAGACCGTGACTAACGATTGTTCGAACACTAATCGTTCTACGACAATCAAATGATCTTTCCATATCGAAGTCATCGATCTTCCTCTTCTAATATACGTACATGTATATCATGGTCCGCCACATTCAAATACGATCGGTACGTAATTTTTACGTAAATATGACGGAGGTGTACCAATTTTCTCCTTTCAGGACGTATTTTTTTACTTCACATATTTACCTCCCATAACTTAAAGTAATTATCAATAACCTCAAGGAACCATTCGCGTCGTTGAGGATCTTTGAAAATGGGTGCCAGTGTCTTTAGCTGTAGTTGCAGTAATGCCTCGTTACCCAACAAACTATCCAGTTGCTTCAGCAACATCGCATCACCATGTAATTTCAGCAAACTGGCGTATGAGAAAATGTAATATTGGTTTCGAAGCCGTTCCACCGCCCATGACTCGACGGTGCGATTTCCGCTCGCTGCTTGTATGGAGCCCATGTGCTCCGCGTACCACGGTGAAAAGTAGTTGTTCAATTCGATATTCGATAGATCTGCTACGCCACGGGTCTTCAATCGTTCTTTGATACGTAGATACGCTTGTTGTGTATACACGAACACCTGAAACGGATATATCATGTAAATACAGGTACATATAAAGGAATATTTTTTATTTAAAATACACGATCGTAAAATTGTCTCGAAGGATACGTGCTTTAAAAGAAGAGAAAGTTATTTTATATTAAAGAAAAGAAAAACTATACACTGATATTTCAAGGACATGTTTATCTTACAAAAAATATGCATCCTTCGAAATGTTAAAATATTAAACAACGAATAGTTATTAAAGATAACTATATAAAAAAATTATCATATATAAATAGACATAAATGAATCGTATTATCTACATAAGCATATATATATAATCGATTTTTTTGGAATATAAATCATAAATAAAGAAATTATATTCTATATTTTTGATTTAAATTTTAAAGAATAATTTTTTCTTTCTAATATATTTTCTTCAACTATATCCTGTATAAGATTTATATTTAATAATCTTGAGATTATTAATACAATATTTA